GGGGGGGGCGGGGGGTGTGGTCGAGAAGAAACTCCTGCTTTCTGAAAATTTTTGTTTGACTATTAAGATAAGCTGAGTAACTTTTTATTTTCATACTGAACCTACAAACTTTTATCAGACACCTGTATTCTGGTTGAATTATATTTTGATTTGCCTGGTTGGAAAAACTTAATATCCCATTTGAACGGTATCTCCTCAAGGCAAAGTGCGGTTTCCTTGGGGAATTGGATGGCTAGAGATTTATAGGAGTCTTCTACAAGATGCATGATGAAATACGATATCATTGCTAGTGAATTGTGGAAGACTTCTTCCTAACGATTCTAGTGTTATCTTCATCGAAATTATATATATTTTTTTCCCTAGACCCTTTAAGAATGTCATTGAAGTTTCTAAACGAAATTCCTCTTACTGTTTCAGAAGATATCCTTCCTTTAAATCGTGTATTAGGTGATACCCATTTTAGTTTTAAATTTGAAAGCATATAGCTTGATTGACGCTGAGGTTCATCTCTATCATCTAGCTATATGTCTCTAACGCTCCTCTTTCTACGTAGTGTTTGAACCTCTGAATAGAGGATAAGTTTTGTCTTGAAATGGGTTGCAGATGAGAAGATAAGTGTCGTATAAAACCAAAGTAATAGATGAGAGATTTTATATGGATTGTTCAGTAATAAATGAGAACAGAAGTGTCTTATAACAAAATGACAACATCATGGGGTTTTGTAAGAATAAATAGAATTGCCTTCATAATTAATGGGGTCCCACTCCACCAACTTAGATTGGCTTTTTTTTTTGTTTTTTTAAATCAGGAGAAAATATTACATTGATGATAATTTTATTACTAGGCTGATGCTAGTTGTTTCTAGATAAGCCAACCTTTAAGTCGACATGAAGTCTAATAGCTTATCAATCATGCATAACTCTGGTACGAGATTGGCCAGGTGAGTAAGTTTACCAATCTTGTCCATAACTCGAGTGTAAAATGATGGTGATTTGTCTCACGTTAGGCTAGGCAAACTGGTTTACAACCCCTCGAATGCCAAGACTAGAAGACGAAGGCGATTTGGCATATTTCAGTTGAGTTTAAAGCTTGTGAGTAGAGTTCATAGTCTCCAAAGTATGGAGTTTGGAAGATGATATGCTTTCATGTCGGATTCTTCGAGAATATCAAAATGTACCTTTAGTAAGCTTCAGAAAAAGGTAGTGGTTTCCCATGTGTTATTTATTAGTGCTCCCCTGCTTCAGCAATTGGTGGTGTTGTAGATGGGCAATATCTTGTTTATGGCTACTTGAACTCAACCATAATTATTTAACTAGTTCGCCTTATCCCGGTGACTTCACCAATTATCAAGTTTTATCATTTTTACTAACGATACCTATAAATGCTTACAAACTTTACAAACTTAATACAACAAAAATGACAATTCTTACAAGATTGGAAAGACGCAAAAATCCTTTGTAAGAACCAAAATAAGGCATTTATGCACATAAAAATGTTATTTTTCTTTAAACAATTCATGTGTTTGGGGAAATTGTTAATGAACTTACACTTAACTTTTTTAGGTGAAGTACATTAGTAGATTAGTTTAGAATTTATTGACAAAAGACTCATTCGTTATTTTGATCCATTTGTTCATAATATGGATGAGAGAAAAGGGAGAAATGTGATTGAGAAAGGAGTTCAGAGGCCAGAGAAGGAAAAATTATTTTATTTTATTTTTAAAAGTAAATTGCTATAATATCCCTATTATAAATTAACTAAATCAAATAAAATGAATGAGTTTTCCCCCCTAAAGTTTTGGTGTAAGCCAGTACATTTTCAATGTCAAAATGAATCTTGGAAAATTAGTCTTTCATCTACCGAATGAAATGATACTATAACAACGTAAAAAAATGGATTTGTTTCATCTACAAAGAGAAACTATATAAAACAAGAAAATAATCTTCCGGAAAACATGAGGCAACTTTGGCTTTTTGACCCCACTAAATTAAAAAAAATTAAAAATACACAAAATAAATTAAAAAAAAAAACTAATTACTAAAATAGGTGATTTTGGACACATAGGCGCTGATGTGGCATACAAGGCGCAGGGGGTAAGGCGTTTTGTAGATGACGCCTTCCCCCATGCGTTTTCTGCGGCTGATGTGGCAATGAACAGAAAACGCCCAGATCCCGTGCGCCATCTTCAAAACCACAAACAGTCCCTCCCCCATGCACCTTCTTCAAAGCCATCTCCAAATCATTAATTATTCCCTCTAATTATATATACCATATATACAACAGATTTAAGAAAGGTACCCAAAGCTTTCTGAAGATTTACCTCTAAAATCATCTTTTTGAAATAGTTTTTGGTTAGAAGAGACATTGACTTATTATTGTAAGATCCTATATTTCAACAAACTAAAACCTACCAACTATGTTCACTTCAACAAGAAAAAGCTAGTTTAAAGTGTATTTTTAATATTTAGTTATTTTACGTAAAAAAAAATAATTAATGAGTAAGAAAAAGCTAGTTTAAAGTGTACTTTTAATATTATTTATATAATTTTATAATGTACTTTTAATGTTATTTACATTAATTTGGAATTATAGTAATATAGTTTATTTTTAATATATATCACAAACAAATTATGCACGTAAATATATTAATATAATTATGTTATTTATATAAAATAATTAATACATTATTTATTTAAATTATACACCTAAAGATAACCTAATTATCTTGCCTTAATATATTTTGTTATCTTAATATTATTTATTCATTTAGCCTTTTCAGCATTAAATTAATTAACCATAGTTAATCATAGAGATTAAAACGAGACAAAACTATGTTTGCAAAAACTTAAAATATAAATATAAATGTGAAATTTTAAGTTAAGACTTATTAAGAGATGATGTTTTTTATACAAAAATAGAAAAGTATAAATTAAATTGGATTGTTATTGCCCAAAAATAATTTTTTACTTATAATTCTTTTTAATTTTTTAGAATTCGATCTTGAGGTCAAGCTCAACAACGCAAAATAAGCCTTGAGTTTAAAATTTTATATTATTTTAATAACACTGTCAAATAATAATAAACGTATGAAGGAGACGTTTTGAAGAGTTTTTACGGAATTTATTTCACTTTATAAAACTTACTTATGATTTTATATAAATAAATTTAATAATTATTTTTGGGCAAATAACAATCCAATTTAATTTATACTTTTCTATTTTTGTATAAAAAACATCATCTCTTAATAAGTCTTAACTTAAAATTTCACATTTATATTTATATTTTAAGTTTTTGCAAACATAGTTTTGTCTCGTTTTAATCTCTATGATTAACTATGGTTAATTAATTTAATGCTGAAAAGGCTAAATGAATAAATAATATTAAGATAACAAAATATATTAAGTCAAGATAATTAGGTTATCTTTAGGTGTATAATTTAAATAAATAATGTATTAATTATTTTATATAAATAACATAATTATATTAATATATTTACGTGCATAATTTGTTTGTGATATATATTAAAAATAAACTATATTACTATAATTCCAAATTAATGTAAATAACATTAAAAGTACATTATAAAATTATATAAATAATATTAAAAGTACACTTTAAACTAGCTTTTTCTTATTCATTAATTATTTTTTTTTACGTAAAATAACTAAATATTAAAAATACACTTTAAACTAGCTTTTTCTTGTTGAAGTGAACATAGTTGGTAGGTTTTAGTTTGTTGAAATATAGGATCTTACAATAATAAGTCAATGTCTCTTCTAACCAAAAACTATTTCAAAAAGATGATTTTAGAGGTAAATCTTCAGAAAGCTTTGGGTACCTTTCTTAAATCTGTTGTATATATGGTATATATAATTAGAGGGAATAATTAATGATTTGGAGATGGCTTTGAAGAAGGCGCATGGGGGAGGGACTGTTTGTGGTTTTGAAGATGGCGCACGGGGTCTGGGCGTTTTCTGTTCATTGCCACATCAGCCGCAGAAAACGCATGGGGGAAGGCGTCATCTACAAAACGCCTTACCCCTGCGCCTTGTATGCCACATCAGCGCCTACGTGTCCAAAATTACCTATTTTTGTAATTAGTTTTTTTTAAAATTTATTTTGTGTATTTTTAATTTTTTTTAATTTAGTGGGGTCAAAAAGCCCACCATTACTATACCGGCTACTATCCACGGAATTAAACACGGCAATTTCTGGCCTTTATGTTATGGTTTTAGGGCTTTCATAAAATTTTATATCCATTTTTAGCCTCTCATGTAGTTTTACTCATTAATATTACTTCCTAAGAGAGATTATAATGGAGCAACAAAAGAAGAAAAGAGTTCTATTAAGGACTAGTATTGATGAATATAAATAAATTAAGGATTAAAAATGGGAGAAAAAAAGTTTATAGAGATCAAAATTGAATTTTAAAATAATTGAAATATTTTTTTATAGCATTACAGAAGAGTTAAAAGTGATGCCAATAACAATAAATGAAAAACTGTTAAATTAATAGTGTAATCGTTATTAATTTCAAGTTATCAACATAAATTATATTTTTAAATTCCAACAACTTTAACCAATCATACATAACATAATATGTTGAAAGAAGAGTAACCCTTAGTTTTCTTATGAAACTAAGAATTTACTAAAATTTATCTAG